TTTATACACATGCTACCGTGTCAAATTTCGTTTCTTAAACTTTACTTATTCTGAGATACCGTTTAATATTTAAGAACTTAAACAAGAAATTAAACAAATTACACGCCAACGCACACATACCCGCGCGCTAATTTTTCCCTTTATTTTATATTTTTTGGGTTCGAGAGATCTTCAAACGTGTAGAATTACAAAAACTCGAAGGGACAAATGTGACACGATTCAAATACTTTTCGTTTTATATACATAACAAGTTGCGAAAGTAAAGAAAAAAAAAACAGTCGGAGTCGGCAGATTTTTGACGACTCCGACTCCGACTCCACAGACCTGTTATTTTCAACAATAAACCTTCAAGAATCATCGCTTAAGTTTGCCAATAATTAGTTGAAAATTAATACATAGGACTAAATCGCTTGAACATATAAATTAATAGATTGATAATTCACATCAGTTATATCACGCCATCTAATATATCGTTCAATTGGGTTAAGGTCCATTTGTGGCGTAACCGTGCGGTGTCCGTTCAGTGCGGTGATTTTTTGCCCGTCAGAAATCGTTAACTCTGCTTTAGACCAGACTCGTCTGTCTAAAGCAGTACCGAGCAGTGGCAGTGGCGTAACCGTACTATAAAAGTACGTTTGACCGGAACGATATTTTTACTGACAGTAAATTTTGTTTTCCAATGGATGACGAACATTTGAAATGGTGCATCAACACCCTGTTCTATTTGATTATCTCATTCGAAATACATGGTCATTGAGTACAAAATTAATATTTCTCTGTTTTGTTCAATAAAATATGAAATGCATGTTGGGACATTCGAAAATATTCAAAAATTTTACATTCGTTATCTATTAATTTTTTATAAACGGTATGAAATTCCTTTTCTATTGACCTTTATGTCCATGCTTCATGTACCCATTTGCAGCGCTTTTTTGATTGCATTTCTTTTTCTTCTTCGTCCAAACATATATAGTAGCTATCATAGCCAATTCATCTTCAAAAAAATCTATGACCACTCACCGAGACCATGGTCACGTCACTCTTGTGTGTAAATACTCATCATTGTGCCGTGCTGGACGTCACTGTCACGAAACGGTCACTGTGCCTGCCAGCGCGTCACTGTTGTGTGTAAATGGACCTTTATCTTTCGCCATGCGCGATAGGTAGCAGAGGCTACTGTGTTTACTTTGTTGATGAATAATAATACTTGTAAATATCTTTCATTATTTTATTTTAAGCATAATTTACTTTGCATTTTATTATTCTAATTTGTAATCTAAAGTAAATTGCTAATAGTTTCAGGAGAGAGAAAAACACGTTATGTCTTAAGCATTGTTGGCTACGTCCTTGGAACAGTTTTGTTACTTTCATTATTATTTATAATTATACTAGCAATTAGGTAAGTTTGTTTAATACGAAAATATCAAAGTCAATGTTGTTTACCTAGATTTTAACTTAATTTTATATATTAAGGTTAAGAAAGCAATCTAAAATCTCTCAACGTTCAAATGAATCGCTAGAAAACTTGGATGGCAGATCTGTCAATCAAGGAAGTTCACATGTAAGTTTAAACTTAACATATTTATGAATTTGAAGTGTTATGACATACTTATGACACTTGCTTATTAATAAAATAGGAAATATTATTTCAAGAACGTACTCACCATGAAACTAATCCTGTATCAATCCCTCGTGTGAATCGATACAGAAAACAACTGCGTAATCCCTCTGTGCGCCCGATCGAACATTATGCGGTCTATCCGTAATCATAATTTACGCTTTAATCATTTTTAATTGTAAAAAGCATTAATAACTTGAAAATAAAATTACAGTATTTAAAATATCGCTTTTGTATTTAAGATGATCAAGATCGAATATTACTCATTTTCTAATGACATAATGAAGGTAATATGTCTATTAAGAAAATTATTTTGTCAGTCTCATTTATTCACTGTACTCATGGCCGGCGCCAGGGTATTTTGCGCCCTAGGCAAGGTTTACAAGTGTGTCGCTTTTTTAAACTCTTTTGTTCTGTGGGCACTAAGAGGCTACTGGATCGAGCAGATCAGCGATCTGCTCGATCCAGAACATCGTTATGTTTCTGTGGCCGACGTTAGAGGGCATCGGTGATGTGTTTTTATCGAAGATGGCGATATCGGATATTAAACTACCAAGACGATTACCCTTACTCGTTATCGAAGGCGTGTTTTTTCCCGGGGCATCTATAAGGATACCCGTTAATTCGTATAAAAATATGAATATGGTTAAAACTCACCTTCTAAGTAGGAGTACCTTAGCAAGTGCAATTATTGGAGTAGTACCTAGAGAACCAGGATCATCTGGAGAAGATGATATCAGTGCCATGCATCAAATTGGAACTGCAGAAATTGTTGTTCAAGTTACTGGTACTAATTGGCCACGACCAGCATATACACTACTAGTTACTGGTCTATGTCGCTTTAGATTAGAAGGTTTAGTGAAAGAATCTCCTTGCCTTATTGGAAGTGTAAGACAGTTAGATAAACTTTCAGGAGAAGAAACTGAAAGTATTGAAGTTGAAGCAGAACTAAATGATTTAATGGAACAATTTATAGAACAAGCTATTAGATTGATTGATATGCTTGATTTATCAGTTCCTGCTGTAGTTCGACTAAAAAGATTATTAAATTCTCTACCTATTAAAAGTTTACCTGATGTCTGTGCAGCAATAATTAGAGCATCACATGCAGAACGTCTTCAAGTATTAGATGCTGTTGATTTAGCCGAAAGGCTAAAAAAAACTCGCCTCTTTTAATTAGACAAATTGAGGGTTTACAATTATTACAAAAAGCTAGAAAAGATGGCGATATTTCTAGACCTGTCACTTTGGAAAAAATAACACCAAGCAGAGGAAGACAAAGATTAGATATAGATGATGATGATTTTGAAGGTGGTGATGAAATTGCTATTTTAGAAAAAAAACTCAGAGATACTGAAATGCCTGATCATGCAAAAAAAGTTGCAATGAAAGAATTACAGAGATTAAAGAAAATGCTTCCTCATATGCCTGAACATGCCATGACAAGAAATTACATTGAACTTATGACAGATCTTCCATGGTCTAAGCAGTCTTCTGAAATGCTTGATATAAATAAGTCAAGAAAAGATTTAGATGCTGATCATTATGGCATGGAGAAATTGAAGAAAAGAGTTTTAGAATATCTTGCTGTTCGCCAATTGAAAAATACATTGAAAGGTCCCATTTTATGCTTTGTAGGACCTCCTGGAGTAGGTAAAACAAGTGTGGGAAGATCTATTGCACAATCATTGGGAAGAGAATTTCATAGGTTAATAAATTATTATTACATTTTATTACATATTATAAATTTATATAAATATAATTATAAATTTTGTATGTGCAGGATATCTCTAGGTGGTGTTTGTGATCAAGCTGATATTCGTGGTCACAGACGCACTTATATAGGTTCGATGCCAGGACGTATTATTCAAGGATTAAGAACAGTTGGAGTTAAAAATCCTGTGTTTCTGTTAGATGAAATTGATAAAATGGCAATTAAAATTTTTTTTCTAATTTAATTGATCAATATTAGATACATTTTTTGAAATTCAATTAAATTTTTCAGAGTGCTGGAATACATGGTGATCCAGCAGCTGCACTTTTAGAAGTTCTTGACCCAGAACAAAATTCTTCGTTTATAGACCAGTATCCTTTTAATTAATGTTATAAGTAGATATGTAGATATATATATTCATATACATACTCTTTTCTTGAAATCGTAAAAAATTTCTATTTAATTTATGAAGACATGTTTGTATTTCTTTTAAAATAAATAAATCTTGAATTATTTTAGTTATAAAACTGATTATTATTGAAAAAATTGTTGTTTCTTTGTTTTTTATTTTATTGTTAAAATGTTTATTATTCATCATGAAATAAAATATATTAAATTCAAGATTAATGAAGCAAATAGTCATAAATTATCAAATTTCTGTAATGATTTCAATTTATATATATTCAGGGTTCCTACACACCTGGAATATCAAGGATTTTTATTAGTGTTTGAAAAAAGTCATGGAAAGTCGAGGAATTTACCTTCTTGGCTGTCTTGTTGATTTTTTGCTGACAATATACTTTACTAAGTGTAGCTGTGTGCAGGTAGTAAGAAGTAATGTGCTGCAAACTTATGAAAAGGGGTGCAGAATATTTTCAGGACCCAAAATTTACTCAAAAATTTACAAAGTACAAAAATGATAAATAATTTTAATTTAAATGGTATTATCATTTTTCATTTTAATAATTTTGATTGCATAATGAAACAATTTCTGATTTTTTTTCCAATTTATTAGTATTTTATAAAGTTCAGGTAATTTATTAAGAGATAAATTTAATACTGTATACTTTTGTACATGGATTATATGGGATTTGTTAATTAATGAATAATAAATAAATAATTGCTCTTTTTTTTCAAAGGCATGTAGATTATGCTTGTGAATTAATAACAGAATAAATTACTTTAATTTAATAAAACATTTTATTTTTAGTTTTAATAATTTGGGAATTATAAAGAATATATAACTGTTAATTAGAAAAAATAACTAATTAAAAAGTTGGAGAAGCAATAGCATAAGTGCATAGTAAGTCAAATGCTATTTTATTTTGTCAATGTGCCATACTGTGTGGGACATGAGGATCAGGGAATTTGTAAAAAGTTGGATCATGGAAAGTTGGGGAATTCCAGTCTTGGAATTTAAAACAAAAATCTGAGTAGGAACTCTATATATTACAATATTAAAATTTTGTATTGTTTACATTTTCACTAATTACATAGAAAACAGTTTTATATTGGAATAATTAACCAGTTACAGATAATCAAGTTTATTATGTGAAACTTTAGAAATTGAACCTCATTGTTGGTTCTGTGATAAATACTGTTATAGGAAAATCAAAGACTGGATTATAGGAGATGGCTAATGTTAATGTTGAATTTTTTCTGTGATGATAAAAGTAAAAATAACAGAATTTTTTAGTGGTGTGTTTTAGTTGCAATTATCATAAAAATTTTCATCCATATAAATAAATTAATTGATTTTGAAAGAAAATTTAGAGTAAAAACAATTGTTTCAATAGTTTTTAATTAGAAAAGTAATTTTAAAAAGCTGTTACTATTATCAAAAATTTAATTTCGTATTTTGAAATTAAATTTCTATTCTATTTTTTATTTAATCAATAAAAGTAATTACTTGTAATGAGTTTATAAAAGTATTTTCATTGAACAAACTCAAACAAAGTACAAATTCTTTTTAGCTGAATTTTATATATAATATTTAAAAAACACACATAATATTTCAAATAAAACTAATGTTTTATTTGGATACATTCAGAAGTTTATCTGATTTTAAAATTATCTAATAAAGTTAGAATAAATTACTTTGATATAGTGTAGATATATTGATTGTACTAGATGTAGTCAAATGCAAACATTTCTTAGATTTAATTGAACAATATCTACAACTATGTGAATTCTTACTGAAACAATTCTTCTGTTGGATTTATGAATTCGATAAAGAAAGAATTAGCAAAGTTGAAATATTACTTTGAATTAAATGAACTAATTATGCCAGCTATTAGAAAATGGATACAAACATAATAGGAAATGAATTTTGTTTTACCTTTGTACAGAAATGAACTCTTGAATTAAATATCTTTTTAAACTAAGATGCCAATTATAATAAATAATAAATCTATTAACCTAATCTTCAATTAATATCAAAAACTCTGCTGTATTATTGGGCTATAATAAGATTAATTTAATAATTAAAAATAAAGTAATTTGACTAGAGGTAGGCAATTAGGCCATCATCTCTTGATAATTTTAATAAATATAATTAAAGTTTAAATTTTAATTTAAAATGTTCTGGAAGAACAGCATTTGCCTGAAGCAGGACTCAACTGGCAACTCATGCAAGGAATGTTGGCAAAAGCCATTGAGGACCATAGATACTAAAGTTGTCCCCAGTATGGTTATATCTAAATAATTCTGGAATCAAAGATTGGATTGAGATCTGATTGTGAATTGGCAACACATCTGCATAGTAAGTGGAAGTTATGAGTCCAAGTTCTCTGTGCCAATTCTTTTCTTCCAGAACATTTTAAATTAAAATCTTTAAATTATTATGTATTAAAATTTTCATGAGATGGTGGCCTAATCACCTATATCTAGTCAAATTACTTTATATTTAATTATTCAATTAGTCTTATTATAGCCCAATAATATGGCAGGTTGTTCAATGTCAATTATAATTTTTCCAAAATAAATATTAAACGACTTAATAATATAGAACTATTTGAAGATTTTTGGTCTATAAGTAGTTCTGCATCTAGTGACATAATAGTAATAATAAAATTATAAGTTATATTCTTTTTTTTTTTNCATCGTTAATAGAAATAATTTTTATGGCCGTTGAATAAGAAATGTTTCTTTCACAAGAAATGTATAAAATTACAGTGATGTATTAGACTTACGGTACCTAATTTACATACTATACAGACGATAGTAAACTCAACTTACTCACCTAAACTCTCCGTAGCGTGGCGCTGGACGGTGGAAAGTATATATATAATTATAATAAAGTTAAAATAAGTTAATATTGTACAGACGCTAGTAAACTCAACTTACCCGTAGCATGTAAGTAGTTCGGCTGCTTGTCTATTATTGGTCCAGATTCGACCAATCCTGTTGCGACACGAGTCGGCGATGACGTTTTACCGTGTTTTACTCATCCCTTTTAGCATCTTTATACGAATACTGTCGCAATTTTTTCACCACGTTATAGGAATCCACATTATAGGAATCTGCATTATAGGGGGGGGTCTACTGTATGTATAACTAGTCAACTGGTGCTGAATGGATAACTTACAGGTCTCAAAGGCAATACTGTATGTATAACTTTAATGCCAAATTTCTCACAAAACAGTAACTTTTTGGACACCTTGTATGAGTGACATAATGGAAGTACTGTAGTATTATATATTATTTGTATGCTTAAAAATAAATATCTTACTGATTCATGTTTGAACATATTAAAAAATTCTACAGCCATCTATTATATATTTTTAAAAATAATATAATCAGTGAAATTTATATCTTGCTATATTTTTGAATATTGGTTGATTTAATATTTTGGATATCTTACTCATTCATTAATAAAGCCAGCAATTATTTATGGAAATAAATAATTGCTGGCTTTATTACAGAATCTAATCAACTTCAGTCTATATACTGTTGATAAGAATCATAGTTTCTTAATCATTGCATTCTAATGCCTAAACATTATTTCGTAATATAGAAGGAGGCTAAAGTAAAGTTAATTTACATTATTTACAACAAATAATAATAAAATAACTCTGAAGTATATCAGAAAAACAGTAACTAATTATACAAACATAACACTAACCTTCTCTTAAGGAATGCACATCTCAGGCATTGCAATCCCCAAGAACAGAACAAAAGTATTTTATTATTACCTTAACCATGAACTAATATGTTATCTAAAAAGAGCATCCACATTCTGTCCTTCAATTTGGAGGAAATCAATTAAAAAATATACTAACTTTAACTAAATTGTATGATTTCATTATTTACATACAACAAAAAAATATTACTTTACATTATTAAAAGAAATAAAGCATTTTATTTTAGATATATGTTTTTGGAATTTATTCCAGCTTTTGATCCATGATATTCAAATAAAATGATCATTTGAATAAACTAACCCTAAAACAAACTAACATTTACATTGCTTTTTTACTTAGTCTGTGGCATATGTATTTAATTCAAAAGAATTTAATCTGAATCTTGAAATTGATCATTTGCAATTGGTTTCAGTTAATTCAAGCATACAAGTATTCCAAAAATAGTATTCATTGCAAGTAATAATAAAATAGCTAAAATGACATTCATATATTTTAATTATAATTAATAAAATAGTTAAATAAATACAATTATTATTAATTGTTATGTTTAGCAATTAATATTTTTTATGAAATGCTTTGACATTGTAAAATTAATAGTAACAAAATAATCGAGTATTCATAATATGACAGTGTCAGTTTTCATTTTATGTACAGTAGACCCCTATAAAACGGGTTCATATAATTCGGATTCATATATAATGGCAAAAAAATTGTGACCATATTCATATAAACATGCTAAAAGAGACTCCTATATAACGGTAAAACGTCATCGCCGACTCGTGTCGTGACAGGATTGGTCGAATCTAGACCAATAGTGGATATTACACAAACCATTGAGTCGAGCAACGGACCTACTAAAAACCATTTATTATTTAACATCCATAAAAATTATATTTATATTAATAATGTCTCCAAAGTTCAGCAAATTTTTTGCAGAAAAATAATTTATCAGGAAACACGCATGCCCCATTCGATGCGCCGCTCCACGACGAAAACAAGCTTAAACAATGGCATCGTTGAACGGTGCACACTCAGTAAGTAATCCTACAATTTTTTGTTTATAGCTTAGTTTATATGGATTATTCCCAAAAAATTATACGTATTTGGGAAATGTTGAGTCAAATTAGTCTAGAATCGATTAATTTTATGGATGAAAACCTTTCAAACAGCCATAATCCGTAAACTGCATATGTGCCAGGCTGTGATTGTCTCATGTATTTAAGGACTTGTAGAACATCAATTTTATAAAGAACAGAACATATCTACCGTGTTATAGAGGAGTCGACTATATTACAACATGTTTTTTCCATAGATTTTTAATTATCCTTATTACAGAAAAGTCATCCCCATAACACATGAAATAAACATAGCAATTTCAAATAGATCTTTTTATTGCAATATTCTTATTTTCTAAATATAAATAATACATTGTTTAATTTTTAAAAGTTTACACTTAATCACTTACATGCTTAGTGCTTATTGTATGCATAATCATATAGTTTCATCTTGTATGTATTCTCTCTGTTTATAAAAAAAAAAGTATTAAGTTTTGAACAACAACCTTAATACCTTAGTTATTTTAATTTCAAAAGTTCCATAAAGATATTTTTCATTATGCTTGACTATTTCCAAAATTGATGTGACTGAATATGTAATATTAAATACACAAACACACACAGAGTGTCCTAAAAGCTACAGTTCAGTGAGAACTTGTAATGACATTAAAGTTATATGTGCAGTATTGCATACAAGACCTGTAACTTGTATTCACTGCTATACAGTAGACCCCCCTATAACGTGGTAGATACGTTCCGCTTAAGAATTTCGCGTTGTAGGAATCTTTAAATACATGAGCCAATCAGAGCCATGTGAAATTTATGGACTACGGCTGTTTGAAAGGTTTCCTTCCATAAAATTAATCAATTCTAGACTAATTCGACTCAATATTTCCAAAATACATATAATTTTTTGGGAATAATCTGTATAAACTATGCTATAAACAAAAAATTGTAGGATTACTTACCAAGTGTCGCACCAAACAGTGGCTGCGATTTCTGATAAGTTATTTTTCTGCGAAAAATTCATTGAACTTTGGAGACATCGTTAATAGAAATAATTTTTATGGCCGTTGAATAAGAAATGTTTCTTTCACAAGAAATGTATAAAATTACAGTGATGTATTAGACTTACGGTACCTAATTTACATACTATACAGACGATAGTAAACTCAACTTACTCACCTAAACTCTCCGTAGCGTGGCGCTGGACGGTGGAAAGTATATATATAATTATAATAAAGTTAAAATAAGTTAATATTGTACAGACGCTAGTAAACTCAACTTACCCGTAGCATGTAAGTAGTTCGGCTGCTTGTCTATTATTGGTCCAGATTCGACCAATCCTGTTGCGACACGAGTCGGCGATGACGTTTTACCGTGTTTTACTCATCCCTTTTAGCATCTTTATACGAATACTGTCGCAATTTTTTCACCACGTTATAGGAATCCACATTATAGGAATCTGCATTATAGGGGGGGGTCTACTGTATGTATAACTAGTCAACTGGTGCTGAATGGATAACTTACAGGTCTCAAAGGCAATACTGTATGTATAACTTTAATGCCAAATTTCTCACAAAACAGTAACTTTTTGGACACCTTGTATGAGTGACATAATGGAAGTACTGTAGTATTATATATTATTTGTATGCTTAAAAATAAATATCTTACTGATTCATGTTTGAACATATTAAAAAATTCTACAGCCATCTATTATATATTTTTAAAAATAATATAATCAGTGAAATTTATATCTTGCTATATTTTTGAATATTGGTTGATTTAATATTTTGGATATCTTACTCATTCATTAATAAAGCCAGCAATTATTTATGGAAATAAATAATTGCTGGCTTTATTACAGAATCTAATCAACTTCAGTCTATATACTGTTGATAAGAATCATAGTTTCTTAATCATTGCATTCTAATGCCTAAACATTATTTCGTAATATAGAAGGAGGCTAAAGTAAAGTTAATTTACATTATTTACAACAAATAATAATAAAATAACTCTGAAGTATATCAGAAAAACAGTAACTAATTATACAAACATAACACTAACCTTCTCTTAAGGAATGCACATCTCAGGCATTGCAATCCCCAAGAACAGAACAAAAGTATTTTATTATTACCTTAACCATGAACTAATATGTTATCTAAAAAGAGCATCCACATTCTGTCCTTCAATTTGGAGGAAATCAATTAAAAAATATACTAACTTTAACTAAATTGTATGATTTCATTATTTACATACAACAAAAAAATATTACTTTACATTATTAAAAGAAATAAAGCATTTTATTTTAGATATATGTTTTTGGAATTTATTCCAGCTTTTGATCCATGATATTCAAATAAAATGATCATTTGAATAAACTAACCCTAAAACAAACTAACATTTACATTGCTTTTTTACTTAGTCTGTGGCATATGTATTTAATTCAAAAGAATTTAATCTGAATCTTGAAATTGATCATTTGCAATTGGTTTCAGTTAATTCAAGCATACAAGTATTCCAAAAATAGTATTCATTGCAAGTAATAATAAAATAGCTAAAATGACATTCATATATTTTAATTATAATTAATAAAATAGTTAAATAAATACAATTATTATTAATTGTTATGTTTAGCAATTAATATTTTTTATGAAATGCTTTGACATTGTAAAATTAATAGTAACAAAATAATCGAGTATTCATAATATGACAGTGTCAGTTTTCATTTTATGTACAGTAGACCCCTATAAAACGGGTTCATATAATTCGGATTCATATATAATGGCAAAAAAATTGTGACCATATTCATATAAACATGCTAAAAGAGACTCCTATATAACGGTAAAACGTCATCGCCGACTCGTGTCGTGACAGGATTGGTCGAATCTAGACCAATAGTGGATATTACACAAACCATTGAGTCGAGCAACGGACCTACTAAAAACCATTTATTATTTAACATCCATAAAAATTATATTTATATTAATAATGTCTCCAAAGTTCAGCAAATTTTTTGCAGAAAAATAATTTATCAGGAAACACGCATGCCCCATTCGATGCGCCGCTCCACGACGAAAACAAGCTTAAACAATGGCATCGTTGAACGGTGCACACTCAGTAAGTAATCCTACAATTTTTTGTTTATAGCTTAGTTTATATGGATTATTCCCAAAAAATTATACGTATTTGGGAAATGTTGAGTCAAATTAGTCTAGAATCGATTAATTTTATGGATGAAAACCTTTCAAACAGCCATAATCCGTAAACTGCATATGTGCCAGGCTGTGATTGTCTCATGTATTTAAGGACTTGTAGAACATCAATTTTATAAAGAACAGAACATATCNTTTTTTTTTTTTTTTTTTTTTAACTCGGTTAAGTGTTAAGTAATTATTATTTTATTATTTCATTGTATCCAGTACTGAAATCAGTTCTTTTGCTTTCTGTAATTTGTCTATGATCTCATTATTTGATTTAAGATATGATTATTACAAACACCTAAGAAAAAATTTTATTATAAAACCTATTGTAAATTTTTAATGATTATTTTATTTAAAAAATTTAAAATTATTGTAAGATTATTTTTGTATATAAATATTTTCTTAATTTATGCAAAGTTATTTAAATGTACCATTTGATTTATCACAAGTTCTATTCATTGCTACTGCAAATACAATTAAAAGTATTGCTCCAGCTTTGTTAGATAGAATGGAGGTAAATATTGAATTTAATTTCTTATTTTAAATGAAACAATAATACAGTAATAAGTTGAATTTTTAATAGATTATTCCTGTTCCTGGATATACACATGAAGAAAAGCACCATATTGCTCGAAATCATTTGATTCCCAAAATGCTTAAAGAACATGGACTTACCTCAGAAACAGTTCACATAACTGATGAAGCTGTACAGTTGTTAAGTAGGTATTTTTATTAATAATGTAGATTTTATAGAATAGAAATAAGAATCTTAAAAATTATATAGTTAGAAAATATACTCAGGAAGCTGGCGTGCGTAGCTTGGAACGTAAAGTAGGAGCCTTATGCCGAGCTGTAGCAGTAAGAGTTGTAGAAAAACAAGTGATAAAAGAAAAAGTAGCCAATTCTACTATTGTAGAAAATAATGGAAATGCAATATGCTATCCTCCTGAACTTCCAATTGTTTTAGATGAAGTAGCCCTAGAAGATATTTTAGGAGTAAGTTGTTTTTATTATTATATAGATTTTAAATTTTTACTTAAAAGTTGTAGAACTTTTTAAAGGTCATGAAAATGATATGATTAACAGATTGTAAAAACAATTTCAAAGTCATAAAATAATTGTTTATTTCACATATATTAAAAAACTTAGTAATAGTTTGTTTTTTATTGAGCATCTAATCTACAAGAAATGACTATTTTTCATGCTTCAATTTTATTTTTACAAGCACTTTAGATAATTCTACACTATCATCTTTAGGCATACAAAACATTATTGGAATAATAATGATGTATTTTTAAATTTGAAATGTTATATTCATTTTTTTCTTTTACATCTAATGCAAAATTTTGAATTTAAAAATACATTATTTGTATTCCAGTATTGTTCCATATGCCTGAAGATGATATAGAATTATCAAAAATACTAGCACAATGTAATGTTCGCTGCACTATATTTCAGTGCCTCTAGCCGGNAACCATTTTCTCGATGGATTTAAGAATTAATTTTTGTGATTTTTAAAAACTGAAGAAAAAGTTTTTGACTTAAAAATATAGTAGAGCTCTGTGGTAAATAATCAATATATTCCAAGACCTTTTGCTTAAAGCACTTAGTAAATCCCTTTAATTATTAATTATTTCCTGTATTAACATATCTATCACATTTTTTTTATATAAATAAGGCAAATAAACACTATAATAACAATAATACCACAATATCATAATCATAAAAACACCTTTAAAAAGTTTCAGAAACAGACTTTTCTCCTGAATCTAAAATTTTAATTTTTTCCTCTAAGATAAGCAATTTACAGTTTTCTTTGACTTATCAGAGCTACCAGAATCACTATCCTTGTACAGTAAGACCCCGCGTAACTCTGCCTCGATTTATGCTGATTCATATTAACACAGCAATTCGTTGATTTGTATATAATACAATTATTCCCAAACACAAACCAATCAGCACAAGGGGGCAATTCATCATAGCGCTGTACTTCCCTTAAATCTATGTTTGTTTTGTGCAATTTTCGGAAAAATATAACATCATGGATGCCATAGAAAATATCGAATTTGCTTGGCAAGAATTAACTGATAAATGCATGAACAGAGTGTGGAAGAAGTTATGGCTGAAGGTATCCAAGAATTCTCAATGAGAAGAGCCTATCACTGTATTGTTAGGTTGACCAAATTGTCAATTTAATCTACACAGGAGATGTAGACAAGCAGGATGTTGAGGAGTTACTGCATGTTTCTGGTGCAAGCCTTACCAATGATGACCTTCAAGAACTGGCAGAACAAGGAACTGTGATTCTGGAAAATAGTGATTCTGAAAATGAAGAACTCAAAGAATTTCTCTACAGATTTCCTTAGTAAAAGTTTGGTAATGATAACTGAAATTGTTGATCAAATTGTAGCAATAGAAATAGATAAAACTCACGCCAAAATTGTATAGCTTCTTGATAAAGCACTGAGTTCAGCGTTAATATGATTTTTCTTATATTGCAAGTACTTTCGACGAGTATTATATCGTCGTCCTCAGGCGAAAAAAGAACAAATTTGAAAATTAGAATGTGCAGAGTGTTCCAAGTATAAAACGGAAATTTTTCTTGTCAATTTCTAAATTATAACGTTTGGTAATTCCGTTGGTCACATGCAACAAGCTTTTGCGGGTGTTCAAAATATCTTAAATTCACACGACTAGCAGCGCATGCGTTGAGGAGCAATTGTACTAATTGTTCGATTCTTGGCGCTTTTTGCTGTTTAAACGCTGGTATAAAGTAACCCATATTTCGGGCAAGTCGAGTGTGGGGACGTTGCATGCGTCTGTGGTCATTGTAAGTAGCGCTTCCCAAATAAATGTAATTCTTCTGTTGTTACAGCTCCTGAGCAACGCTGTTTTTGACCATAATGGGTTATAGCCCTGCTGTAGAACTTTTCTGGCGAGCTCTGTAGTCTGTCTTCCTTTGTTTATATTCCCCTGATGTTCTGCAATACAGCAAGCGAGCAAATGATCCAGATATTGAAAGGAGCAAAATGAAGCATTTTGGATGCGATCTTCTGCTACCGACATTTGCTCAACAAAAGAAAAAAGCGACAAATGAAACTACACAACTTTATCACAAAAAAACAAAAATTTTAGAAAAGCCAGGACCTTCATCACAAAAAATGAACTTTACGTTTTTAATGTAAGTTAAATAACACATAAAGACAAGCATTCTTGTCGTTGCCCCTATATACTTCTCAATTGTCCCCGTTACTGGATTTTCCAGTTGCACTGCGTATATTCCCGATTTTTCTAAAACGTCGACTTTGTCCCGATCAAATATACTCCTTTGTGCATATACTCCTGCGTAGGCTGGGTAGGGGAGTTAAAGGAAAAGTAAAGCTGTATCGCCGGAAAATACAGCTAATAAGTATGGACGGTGCTCCTAGGTACGGCAGCGCTGATTGTACTCTAGACATTTTTTTTTTGCTATGTAGTGTGGTAAACAGGAAAAGGGAATCTTTTACCCTACGTAGTACATGCCTAAATTTGGCACTTGTGAATCCAGCGTGATGTACTGCCATTCTTACGATTTCCAATTTGACTTTTATTAGAGCTTGCGATGAGGGAAGTAGCATCGCTCTTCTGATGAGAGCCGCTATGGCGGCATTGACATACTGCAATGGTTGAAATGCATCAGCTGGAATGATATAGAGGACTATGTTACTGGTATGATGGTAGGGGACTGGTATGATATAGGGGACTTATGATGCACTGTAAACTGCAGCCCTTCTAGTGACTTCTGTATCCGTTTAAACAGCAAAAAGTGCCAAGAGTCGCACAATTAGTAAGATCGCTCCTCAACGCATACGCTGCTAGTCGTGTGGATTTAAGATATTTCGAACGCCCGCAAAAGCTTGTTGCACGTGACCAACGGAATTACCAAATGTTATAATTTAGAAATTGACAAGAAAAATTTCCGTTTTATACTTGGAACACTCTGCATGTTCTAATTTTCAAATTTGTTCTTTTTTTCGCCAGAGGACAACAATATAATACTCGTCGAAAGTACTTGCAATATAAGAAAAATCGTATTAACGCTGAACTCAGTGCTTTATCAAGAAGCTAAATTGTAGCAAATGATCCAGATATTGAAAGGAGTACAAAAGCAAAATGAAGCATTTTGGATGCGATCTTCTGCTACCGACATTTGCTCAACAAAAGAAAAAAGCGACAAATGAAACTACACAACTTTATCACAAAAAAACAAAAATTTTAGAAAAGCCAGGACCTTCATCACAAAAAATGAACTTTACGTTTTTAATGTAAGTTAAATAACACATAAAGATATTTATGTGTTATTTAACATATATTATTATGCAAATTAATATAAAAATAATTTAAAATTATAGTAAAATTTGCTTATTTTTGTCAAGTGTTCCCCGTTCTCTATTTACTCTATGTTAAAATGATCTCATTTAACGCTGTTTCGCTTAGCACTTTTTCATCTAGGAATGCATCCCCCGTGTTAAGTGGAGTCTTATTGTATTTTGGAGTCATGTTTACAAAATAATTAGCATTAATGAAACTAAAAGAAGCACCGATATTACATGGACATGATTTGTTGACATCATGAACAAGAAAGAACTTCAGAAAAAGACTGATGCAAAGTCCCAGTGTTTAGTGCAAAACAAAGAAATGAGTCACAGTAACACTTTCCTAGAATGAGAATGAATATGACTGAGTGAGATGATATAAGACTTCATTCATCTTAAAAATGGTGCATATTTTGTGCACAATTAAGAATTTTTATTTTACATATTTTTCACTTTTTCCTTTGGATTTCCAATAGCATAAACTTGAAATTGCATATGGTGGGGTCCTACTGTAAAATATAAGTGGATAAATGCTATTAAATTTCAGCTAATATATAAAGATTTATTAATTCATTTAAGTCAGATAATTTGTTTCAGATCATTCTGTAAATTTATGTATTTTCATTTTATTTATACTGTGTACATCATATATATCTTAAGGTGTAAAGAATTAATTTATAATTTTTCAGAAAAGATTTAGATGCCGATCATTATGGCATGGAGAAATTGAAGAAAAGAGTTTTAGAATATCTTGCTGTTCGCCAATTGAAAAATACATTGAAAGGTCCCATTTTATGCTTTGTAGGACCTCCTGGAGTAGGTAAAACAAGTGTGGGAAGATCTATTGCACAATCATTGGGAAGAGAATTTCATAGGTTAATAAATTATTATTACATTTTATTACATATTATAAATTTATATAAATATAATTATAAATTTTGTATGTGCAGGATATCTCTAGGTGGTGTTTGTGATCAAGCTGATATTCGTGGTCACAGACGCACTTATATAGGTTCGATGCCAGGACGTATTATTCAAGGATTAAGAACAGTTGGAGTTAAAAATCCTGTGTTTCTGTTAGATGAAATTGATAAAATGGCAATTAAAATTTTTTTTTCTAATTTAATTGATCAATATTAGATACATTTTTTGAAATTCAATTAAATTTTTCAGAGTGCTGGAATACATGGTGATCCAGCAGCTGCACTTTTAGAAGTTCTTGACCCAGAACAAAATTCTTCGTTTATAGACCAGTATCCTTTTAATTAATGTTATAAGTAGATATGTAGATATATATATTCATATACATACTCTTTTCTTGAAATCGTAAAAAATTTCTATTTAATTTATGAAGACATGTTTGTATTTCTTTTAAAATAAATAAATCTTGAATTATTTTAGTTATAAAACTGATTATTATTGAAAAAATTGTTGTTTCTTTGTTTTTTATTTTATTGTTAAAATGTTTATTATTCATCATGAAATAAAATATATTAAATTCAAGATTAATGAAGCAAATAGTCATAAATTATCAAATTTCTGTAATGATTTCAATTTATATATATTCAGGGTTCCTACACACCTGGAATATCAAGGATTTTTATTAGTGTTTGAAAAAAGTCATGGAAAGTCGAGGAATTTACCTTCTTGGCTGTCTTGTTGATTTTTTGCTGACAATATACTTTACTAAGTGTAGCTGTGTGCAGGTAGTAAGAAGTAATGTGCTGCAAACTTATGAAAAGGGGTGCAGAATATTTTCAGGACCCAAAATTTACTCAAAAATTTACAAAGTACAAAAATGATAAATAATTTTAATTTAAATGGTATTATCATTTTTCATTTTAATAATTTTGATTGCATAATGAAACAATTTCTGATTTTTTTTCCAATTTATTAGTATTTTATAAAGTTCAGGTAATTTATTAAGAGATAAATTTAATACTGTATACTTTTGTACATGGATTATATGGGATTTGTTAATTAATGAATAATAAATAAATAATTGCTCTTTTTTTTCAAAGGCATGTAGATTATGCTTGTGAATTAATAACAGAATAAATTACTTTAATTTAATAAAACATTTTATTTTTAGTTTTAATAATTTGGGAATTATAAAGAATATATAACTGTTAATTAGAAAAAATAACTAATTAAAAAGTTGGAGAAGCAATAGCATAAGTGCATAGTAAGTCAAATGCTATTTTATTTTGTCAATGTGCCATACTGTGTGGGACATGAGGATCAGGGAATTTGTAAAAAGTTGGATCATGGAAAGTTGGGGAATTCCAGTCTTGGAATTTAAAACAAAAATCTGAGTAGGAACTCTATATATTACAATATTAAAATTTTGTATTGTTTACATTTTCACTAATTACATAGAAAACAGTTTTATATTGGAATAATTAACCAGTTACAGATAATCAAGTTTATTATGTGAAACTTTAGAAATTGAACCTCATTGTTGGTTCTGTGATAAATACTGTTATAGGAAAATCAAAGACTGGATTATAGGAGATGGCTAATGTTAATGTTGAATTTTTTCTGTGATGATAAAAGTAAAAATAACAGAATTTTTTAGTGGTGTGTTTTAGTTGCAATTATCATAAAAATTTTCATCCATATAAATAAATTAATTGATTTTGAAAGAAAATTTAGAGTAAAAACAATTGTTTCAATAGTTTTTAATTAGAAAAGTAATTTTAAAAAGCTGTTACTATTATCAAAAATTTAATTTCGTATTTTGAAATTAAATTTCTATTCTATTTTTTATTTAATCAATAAAAGTAATTACTTGTAATGAGTTTATAAAAGTATTTTCATTGAACAAACTCAAACAAAGTACAAATTCTTTTTAGCTGAATTTTATATATAATATTTAAAAAACACACATAATATTTCAAATAAAACTAATGTTTTATTTGGATACATTCAGAAGTTTATCTGATTTTAAAATTATCTAATAAAGTTAGAATAAATTACTTTGATATAGTGTAGATATATTGATTGTACTAGATGTAGTCAAATGCAAACATTTCTTAGATTTAATTGAACAATATCTACAACTATGTGAATTCTTACTGAAACAATTCTTCTGTTGGATTTATGAATTCGATAAAGAAAGAATTAGCAAAGTTGAAATATTACTTTGAATTAAATGAACTAATTATGCCAGCTATTAGAAAATGGATACAAACATAATAGGAAATGAATTTTGTTTTACCTTTGTACAGAAATGAACTCTTGAATTAAATATCTTTTTAAACTAAGATGCCAATTATAATAAATAATAAATCTATTAACCTAATCTTCAATTAATATCAAAAACTCTGCTGTATTATTGGGCTATAATAAGATTAATTTAATAATTAAAAATAAAGTAATTTGACTAGAGGTAGGCAATTAGGCCATCATCTCTTGATAATTTTAATAAATATAATTAAAGTTTAAATTTTAATTTAAAATGTTCTGGAAGAACAGCATTTGCCTGAAGCAGGACTCAACTGGCAACTCATGCAAGGAATGTTGGCAAAAGCCATTGAGGACCATAGATACTAAAGTTGTCCCCAGTATGGTTATATCTAAATAATTCTGGAATCAAAGATTGGATTGAGATCTGATTGTGAATTGGCAACACATCTGCATAGTAAGTGGAAGTTATGAGTCCAAGTTCTCTGTGCCAATTCTTTTCTTCCAGAACATTTTAAATTAAAATCTTTAAATTATTATGTATTAAAATTTTCATGAGATGGTGGCCTAATCACCTATATCTAGTCAAATTACTTTATATTTAATTATTCAATTAGTCTTATTATAGCCCAATAATATGGCAGGTTGTTCAATGTCAATTATAATTTTTCCAAAATAAATATTAAATGACTTAATAATATAGAACTATTTGAAGATTTTTGGTCTATAAGTAGTTCTGCATCTAGTGACATAATAGTAATAATAAAATTATAAGTTATATTCTTTTTTTTTTTTTTTTTTAACTCGGTTAAGTGTTAAGTAATTATTATTTTATTATTTCATTGTATCCAGTACTGAAATCAGTTCTTTTGCTTTCTGTAATTTGTCTATGATCTCATTATTTGATTTAAGATATGATTATTACAAACACCTAAGAAAAAATTTTATTATAAAACCTATTGTAAATTTTTAATGATTATTTTATTTAAAAAATTTAAAATTATTGTAAGATTATTTTTGTATATAAATATTTTCTTAATTTATGCAAAGTTATTTAAATGTACCATTTGATTTATCACAAGTTCTATTCATTGCTACTGCAAATACAATTAAAAGTATTGCTCCAGCTTTGTTAGATAGAATGGAGGTAAATATTGAATTTAATTTCTTATTTTAAATGAAACAATAATACAGTAATAAGTTGAATTTTTAATAGATTATTCCTGTTCCTGGATATACACATGAAGAAAAGCACCATATTGCTCGAAATCATTTGATTCCCAAAATGCTTAAAGAACATGGACTTACCTCAGAAACAGTTCACATAACTGATGAAGCTGTACAGTTGTTAAGTAGGTATTTTTATTAATAATGTAGATTTTATAGAATAGAAATAAGAATCTTAAAAATTATATAGTTAGAAAATATACTCAGGAAGCTGGCGTGCGTAGCTTGGAACGTAAAGTAGGAGCCTTATGTCGTGCTGTAGCAGTAAGAGTTGTAGAAAAACAAGTGATAAAAGAAAAAGTAGCCAATTCTACTATTGTAGAAAATAATGGAAATGCAATATGCCATCCTCCTGAACTTCCAATTGTTTTAGATGAAGTAGCCCTAGAAGATATTTTAGGAGTAAGTTGTTTTTATTATTATATAGATTTTAAATTTTTACTTAAAAGTTGTAGAACTTTTTAAAGGTCATGAAAATGATATGATTAACAGATTGTAAAAACAATTTCAAAGTCATAAAATAATTGTTTATTTCACATATATTAAAAAACTTAGTAATAGTTTGTTTTTTATTGAGCATCTAATCTACAAGAAATGACTATTTTTCATGCTTCAATTTTATTTTTACAAGCACTTTAGATAATTCTACACTATCATCTTTAGGCATACAAAACATTATTGGAATAATAATGATGTATTTTTAAATTTGAAATGTTATATTCATTTTTTTCTTTTACATCTAATGCAAAATTTTGAATTTAAAAATACATTATTTGTATTCCAGTATTGTTCCATATGCCTGAAGATGATATAGAATTATCAAAAATACTAGCACAATGTAATTTCACTATAAATATAAAATATAAAAGTAATTTATAATAAATCATATAAATAATTCATAACATACATTAAATTTTAAAAATTTCATTTGTGTTTATTTATTTTACTATAAAATTAAATATAAGAATATATAAAAGATACTGTAAATATTTAGTCTGTTATCTGTAGCTTAATAACAGTTTAACTAAAGATGTGTTACACTTAAGCATAGATTGAACTTTCATATTACACTAGACTCTTTCTAATCCAACCATTTCTTGCACATGGGTGCCTGATTACTGAGACTGTATAGGCCTAAAGCCAATGAATGATGCAACCTATTGCTTTTTGGTACTGATTCTTTTCGGAAGTAAGCAGGCAAATAATATGACATGCCAACATGCAGTATTGCACATAGAAATTGAAACCAGGGCAAACAGGAAACACGATGTGTGACATGCCTAATATTTTCATGGAAACTAAAACACATAGGTGATCATACTAGTGGGTATGCTGAAATAGCAAGAGTGTATTGTAATATTTTGAATATTATATATTTGCTATTATTAACTCAATAAAAGAGTATATAGAATATCATGATTATTAATCAATAAGAATAGACAAAGATTATTTACCTTAGTAATAGTATTTTGTTATTTTATTCAATTGATTCCAGTAAAAAATAATTTGTATAAATTATGTGGCTTAACCTACACAAATAAAGTAGTAAATAATTAATAAAATATTTAATTTGATAAATTTTAAGAACTATACTCTTATTACATTGTTTTTCAAATTCAAAAAACACTGACATTTTCATTGTACACACTGATTTCTGTTTGTGATTCATAATGATGGACTGAATTTTTAAATATGTACAGGTAATAAATAAATTATGAAATTTATTTATTACCTATACATAAATTATGAAATTTATTTACCTATAAATAAATTATGAAATTTATTTATTACCAATACCTATTTAATACAAATTTCAATAAATTATATAGTGTATAGTGTAATTTCAGTATGTAATAAATAAATTTCATTAAATTATTGAAATTTATTTATTATATGTTGTTTCAAGTATTAATTATCTAAATGAGGTAAAAAGAAACTATTGAATGAAGATTTTGAACTACTAACTTTTTATAATTTTATATTCACACACACAGACATAATAGAATCATCTTATTGTAATCATTTCGGGACTTGCCTATACTGATAACAATTGGCTGATAATATTAAATAAGGAAATAAATAAGACTGTAATTAATGGAAATTATAGATGGTAGTGTATCTGATTTAATTAAAAAGATATAAATAATAATTCATCAATATATAATATAATCAAAGCATATATTTGAAGTTAAAAAAAAATGCCAGTAATTTAAACTACTGTGTTGTTAGCAAATAATAATTAAAATGGTAAACATTTAAAGCACTGGTTAAGACTGATTACAATAACAATTACATGTTATCAGCCACATATTGATACTGATAATTTGAAAAGACAATCTGAAAATAATGATTGATTATTGTAATCAGAGTTTAGTTATTGCTAAGTTTTATGAGAAAACTTTAACATATCAAAATCCTGCTGATTTTGATATGTTAAAATCATTCAAAACATTACATTAAATGTTACCATAAGCAGGCCCTATTGCATATAAAATTTTATTTTAAATAATACTGATTATTTAAGAAGTAATGTAAAAATCAATTGCAGAAATTTCAGTATTTTTCTAAGGTGAAATGTTGTAAAAAATTTACATAAAATTATATTTAAAACAGCTAATATTTTTTCTAGAAAATTTAGTTTTCAAGAAAAAATGAAAAATTTCATTTTTAGCTTTTGAATTAATCATCATATATTTGTTTTGCTTCTTATCTTTGATGTTTTAATAAGATTTACAGTATTTTACTTTAACTATATTTAATTTGTTTAATATAAAAACATCTTTTAAACCAGTAATAGTAATTCTTTTTAATACAAACAAGCACTTTATTGGGCTAATTATAGAACAATCTTCAGATTTTTGAACAAGAAATCTTAAATAATCAAACAATAACAATTATTATATATATAATTTAAGAACTAATATCTAAGTGATAACTTCTTTAGAATATGTATTGAAATAGAATATGCTTCACAGGAATTTTATGAAATCAATTGACATATACATTATTGTACATACTGACATTTTGATTTCTGATGCTTGAATGATATCTTAATGATAATGAAGTTAATATTGAAATAGCTGACATTTTAAAATACTAGAATGACTGTTATGCTGTATAATTTTTGCAGCACTTTATTAATGTACAAATTATAATAAATAGTCATTTAAAAAATAAATTTAAGTATAATTATGAATATTTATTATTTTATTGAAAAATAATTGCATAAAAACAAACTTTTAAATGTCATTATAAATTGGCTATAATTAATGAATCAGTTTTAAAAGATATTTGAGTGCATAGGTTTGTATATGTAAATGCCATTTTAAATACATGTTTCCAATCTGAGTCAGTTAACACAATTCAGAAAGTAGTAATACAAATACCCTAAGTATAAATATTAATTGTATTTCAAGCTTTTAAACTTGACATTAGTACATTTATCAATGCTATGATTTTCAGATCCAGCTGAATCACTTATAATTCTGGCCTATCTGTAGAATATGTTCATTGAAATTAAAAACTTTTTTTTACTACTGACTATCAATTATTTCATTCCTCTGCCAGCTGAAGAAAATAATTTTGATAGATATTTTGAATGTTAATTATTTGAAATTATTTAAAATGTTTATTTTTTGACTGATATAAAAAAAAAGCATTTCCTTTAAAACATGATTTGGAAAATGTAATCTAAAGCTTGGTTTACACTGTCATAAAACTCCTACACAAGCAGTAATTAAAATGAAATATTGTCTGCATCACACATTTGACACAAACTAAGTTAGAATATGATTAGTTAAAAAAGTTTTGAACACTATTTGCAAAAAGATGATTGGTCAAGCAAACTGAAGTTCAGTGAAAGTTGAGATATTCTCAATTTTTAACGAACTGGTCAAACATTCACCAAAAGGTGACATATCCACTTTGTAGCAGTTTATATGCCAGTAAACCTAGTTTAAATTAACATTTCTAGTGACTTTGTGTTGAACAATCTTTGTAGCATAATTCTTTAATTTATATTAAATATAAANAATAAATATTAAACGACTTAATAATATAGAACTATTTGAAGATTTTTGGTCTATAAGTAGTTCTGCATCTAGTGACATAAAAAATGGCAATAAAATTTTTTTTTCTAATTTAATTGATCAATATTAGATACATTTTTTGAAATTCAATTAAATTTTTCAGAGTGCTGGAATACATGGTGATCCAGCAGCTGCACTTTTAGAAGTTCTTGACCCAGAACAAAATTCTTCGTTTATAGACCAGTATCCTTTTAATTAATGTTATAAGTAGATATGTAGATATATATATTCATATACATACTCTTTTCTTGAAATCGTAAAAAATTTCTATTTAATTTATGAAGACATGTTTGTATTTCTTTTAAAATAATTTTAGAAAAGCCAGGACCTTCATCACAAAAAATGAACTTTACGTTTTTAATGTAAGTTAAATAACACATAAAGATATTTATGTGTTATTTAACATATATTATTATGCAAATTAATATAAAAATAATTTAAAATTATAGTAAAATTTGCTTATTTTTGTCAAGTGTTCCCCGTTCTCTATTTACTCTATGTTAAAATGATCTCATTTAACACTGTTTCGCTTAGCACTTTTTCATCTAGGAATGCATCCCCCGTGTTAAGTGGAGTCTTATTGTATTTTGGAGTCATGTTTACAAAATAATTAGCATTAATGAAACTAAAAGAAGCACCGATATTACATGGACATGATTTGTTGACATCATGAACAAGAAAGAACTTCAGAAAAAGACTGATGCAAAGTCCCAGTGTTTAGTGCAAAACAAAGAAATGAGTCACAGTAACACTTTCCTAGAATGAGAATGAATATGACTGAGTGAGATGATATAAGACTTCATTCATCTTAAAAATGGTGCATATTTTGTGCACAATTAAGAATTTTTATTTTACATATTTTTCACTTTTTCCTTTGGATTTCCAATAGCATAAACTTGAAATTGCATATGGTGGGGTCCTACTGTAAAATATAAGTGGATAAATGCTATTAAATTTCAGCTAATATATAAAGATTTATTAATTCATTTAAGTCAGATAATTTGTTTCAGATCATTCTGTAAATTTATGTATTTTCATTTTATTTATACTGTGTACATCATATATATCTTAAGGTGTAAAGAATTAATTTATAATTTTTCAGAAAAGATTTAGATGCCGATCATTATGGCATGGAGAAATTGAAGAAAAGAGTTTTAGAATATCTTGCTGTTCGCCAATTGAAAAATACATTGAAAGGTCCCATTTTATGCTTTGTAGGACCTCCTGGAGTAGGTAAAACAAGTGTGGGAAGATCTATTGCACAATCATTGGGAAGAGAATTTCATAGGTTAATAAATTATTATTACATTTTATTACATATTATAAATTTATATAAATATAATTATAAATTTTGTATGTGCAGGATATCTCTAGGTGGTGTTTGTGATCAAGCTGATATTCGTGGTCACAGACGCACTTATATAGGTTCGATGCCAGGACGTATTATTCAAGGATTAAGAACAGTTGGAGTTAAAAATCCTGTGTTTCTGTTAGATGAAATTGATAAAATGAGTGCTGGAATACATGGTGATCCAGCAGCTGCACTTTTAGAAGTTCTTGACCCATAACAAAATTCTTCATTTATAGACCATTATTTAAATGTACCATTTGATTTATCACAAGTTCTATTCATTGCTACTGCAAATACAATTAAAAGTATTGCTCCAGCTTTGTTAGATAGAATGGAGATTATTCCTGTTCCTGGATATACACATGAAGAAAAGCACCATATTGCTCGAAATCATTTGATTCCCAAAATGCTTAAAGAACATGGACTTACCTCAGAAACAGTTCACATAACTGATGAAGCTGTACAGTTGTTAATTAGAAAATATACTCAGGAAGCTGGCGTGCGTAGCTTGGAACGTAAAGTAGGAGCCTTATGCCGAGCTGTAGCAGTAAGAGTTGTAGAAAAACAAGTGATAAAAGAAAAAGTAGCCAATTCTACTATTGTAGAAAATAATGGAAATGCAATATGCTATCCTCCTGAACTTCCAATTGTTTTAGATGAAGTAGCCCTAGAAGATATTTTAGGACCACCATTATATGATAGTGAATTGACAACTAAGATAGGCCAACCAGGTATAGCTATAGGTTTGGCATGGACTGCAGCTGGTGGAGAAATAATGTTTGTAGAAGCTTCAAAAATGGATGGTGATGGACAGTTAATTCTTACTGGACAGCTAGGAGATGTCATGAAAGAATCGGCTAAATTAGCTTTAAATTGGATTCGTACAAATGCTGAAGAGTATGGAATTCCTGTTCAGAAGGGTACAGATCTGATGGAGAGAACAGACATTCACATACATTTTCCTGCTGGTGCTGTTGGTAAAGATGGGCCTTCTGCTGGAGTAACTATTGTTACTGCTTTAATATCATTGTTTACAGAAAGATTAGTATCATCTGGTCTTGCTATGACAGGAGAAATAACTTTATTAGGATTAGTTTTACCAGTTGGTGGAATTAAAGAAAAAATATTAGCTGCACACAGAACTGGAATGAAGCATGTTATATTACCAAAGAAAAACGAAAAAGACCTTTCAGAAATTCCTTCTACCACTTTAGCTGACTTAACCATCCATTCTGTCTCTTGTGTTGATGATGTCTTGCAAGTAGCTTTCCAAGGAGGATTTCCAGATTTGGGGAAAGTGAGATCTATCACTAAACTTTAAAAATAAAGAGAGAATTCCTGGTTGAACAATGTAAAATAGCATACAAAAACAAACATTCCACAAAATATAAATTATATGTAGAGGCGAGAGTTATCAGTTATCATTATTCCTATTACGGCGATGTTTTGCTGGGACTGAATAAGTGTTAATATTCAAAAAAAAAAGAAAGAAGATAAAATGAAAATTTTATGCTCGATAGATTACACTTTGATACATACTACAAGCCATTTAATGCATACCGCGAGTATGATAATGAATTTAACTTATCCACCGGATAAAGGCAAATAATATCCATAATTTTATATAGGTGACACACAAAATTTCATTAGTTAATCAAATCAACAGATACTCTTGTGTATACTCAATAAATATAATTAACTGTATAATATAATTGAATAATAAAGAATATTTTTCTATAAAAGATACAGTCGTAGTCGTCGTACAGAATCAGATATGTCGTCATTTATACATTACACTGATAACGATCAAATGCAACTGGAAATGTTTTTAGATAAGCAAAGCGTGCATGATGGGATGCTATCACCAGCGTCCCGAGCGCGCTCTGTCCGTTGGTTTATCACGTGTCTGTAACGTAACTACAAAAATCGCCATTCCTCGTCGGAATCGATCGAGCGTTTATGGGAAATCGGATGTTATGATGAATGTGGAGCATTCCCATACATCGATGGGGATTATGGGTGCAGATTTATTTTTAACACAAGCGCATTTAGAGAGTGTCATAGTAAATAACAACGGTGTTCCCTTATCGCCCAATTCAGGTGAGTCAGATGTAAAAATATCTTTTGAAATATATTCGTACGGTCGAGTTGTACTCTTCGCAGTGAGTATCCAATTAATTACACTTGTGTAATTGTTTACTTCGCTCTATATTTGTAACGGTGTATCAATAGGTAAATTCGTAACGCAGTAAGTAATGCACGATTTTTTGACGCGTATAACCACGTGATTTCGTCCTCAACATTGATTTGCTCTAATTGATTGAAGATAGAAATATATCCTTCGTGTTTTTCTCTATATAACTTTGTTTACCTAAGCAATGACTCAAAACGTACACCATTTATCCGCTTGTCTGTCAAAATTTATGGGCAAACATTGTAATCTGTTAGTTATTTTACACGTCAAATAAATTTTAATTGAGTGCGTTATTGATACAGACGGGCCAAATGCTAGCGTAAATTCAACATAAGTTAATAAAAAGACGACATAAATCAGTTTACACCTCGTAGAAATAATTGGTAGATAACCAAGTTTAAATGCAGTAAAAGTTTCCTCAAGAAAAACCGGCGATAAAAATGAAATAACACTTAAATGTGACGATTGAGCGACGGTTTTACTTTCCGCAATTTACAATTAAACGATTATACGATAAGAATAAATATTTGCCATCTAAAAAAATAATTGTTTATTGTTCGATCGTCCAAAAAAAATTCGATAAAATAATTTTAATTAAAAAAATATATGAAAATTAATTATCGAAGAATAAAATAATGAATCATTAATTTCAACTTTTGCCAGTTTTATTGGACTCATAATCAAAATATAATCAGCCAAATTTTATACAAATTATAAACTAATTATTTACATATGTTAGGAAATTGGTTTCGTGTCCTTTCAATTTTATGTGTTTTCCGAATTATATTCTGATCAAATGTCATGCTTATTAGCGCTGTTTAAATTCGTGGGGTAATTTTTATGTGAAGTAAAACTTGTGGATTTGATGGAAGGCCTAGAATTAACTAATAAATTAGTATGTTTAAGTGCTTAATTCTAATCGTGTAGTTTTCTTCGAGCGTAACGATTGTATAGTCACATGACGTAATGTGAGCTATTTGCTGAAGATAAACAGATATACTGTAGCTTCACATAAATCTATGAGTTGGATGATTTGTTGGCAACTAAGTTTGGGTCAGAACCTTGAACTATTACGCTGTATATCGTCACTATTCTAATTGCACGAACTATCAGCTGATTTTTCTTTTTTTTAATTTAAAATCAAAATTTTATTTATAGCATTTAATTCAAGAAAACGGTGTTATTTTATTAAGAAAGTTTTTGTATGTACCCTTTTCACAATACCTGTTATGTTTAAATTGACCATTAAAAATTTGTCGTGTTAAAAAACCAAGATAAAATTGTTAGTATTATTACGACAGAATAAAAGATTTATAGTCGTAGCATCGTTTATATTATACGTAATTACAGTATCAGTTTTATCTCCGCTTTGCTAGATAAAAAGTATTAAAAAAAAGTTCGTACGTGCAGTGATATGTGGAATTTTTAAAGCTATGAGAAGTATGCAAATGAAGAAACACTAATTATCATTGTAATTGTCATATCAGCGTAACCTTGATTGTGATTTCACCTTCTTTGACGTTATCAATAAATTAACGATGTTCCGTAATGTGGAAGCATTACAGAAGTGATTCACTCATCCGAAGACGAAGATAATCGAAAATATTTGATAAAAATTTTACACGAAGGTCAGAACTTATTCAAGAACAACTAACGACTTTTAATATTGTGCACGCAATGTTACAATTCTTGCCGGTTTATAATTAATAAAATTGAATAAATGTTTTGGTGAGTAGAATTTTTTTTTCGAAACGTTTGGTCTTTCGAGTAGAACAGTTAATTTGGATTATCTTTTTTCGATCGTATCGTCAAGTCCGGCACATTGCAACATCCGAATATACAAGGTCAGGTGAAGGTTAGCGAACTTCTTTCCACACGAAACTCTATTCAACTCAATTTAATCAGTAATAAGTTATTCTAGTTAGAAACATAATCAAATGATGATAGCATTTTATTAGAAAAAATTCAATAATTATATTAACAGAATCTTTTTTAAATTCGAACTTAATTTTTTGTGTCCATAAATTACGTCCACACTTTTCTTAAAATTTTTACTCCCCCTCTCCCCATTGTCCCAGTTTGTCCAAGTTTCCGTAACCCATTTCCTTCTTCGGACGTTCAACAAAACTCAATCACCCTCAAAATTTTTATCACTTTATGAATAATAAAATGCATAAACTGTATAAAATTTAATGAAATAAAACGGTCGTCCATTAAAGTTGAACCCCCTCCCTCCGTTGTAGTGTGGACGTCATTTATGGGCAGCCCCTAATCACTTATCCATAGTTGTTTTAAAGTATGTATAAAATTCGTTATAGGTATACAGAAATATAAATCTAAACAAACATTTTAATGATTTAGTACTCTAGTGATATAGTTTTTATTTAATATAAATTATTAAATAAAAATTAATGCACGTGAACAATATACAGCGAACATATAACGAAATTTGAGTTTAACATTCCTTTTCTATTAGTCCTACAAATCTCACTTCACTATAACACACTTTGCCCTCCTCTTCGTTATTGTCTTCCATGTGGTAAACAACTGTACCCAAGGGAGAATAACAAATCCGGAACTAATTAACAAGTTGCAAGTGTCGCTCACTAACCTTTATAGTCATAGACACAGCCGTTTAAGCCTCTTAATTTTACTGTATTTAGTCTTAACTTGAGGCGCGAGGATAAAATGACACCGAAGGATATTTATAGAATGAATACTTCGCCATCTTCTGGTAAGTTCTTCTAGTATAAGAAAGCAAAGCATAGGAAGCATATGATTCGATTCGGAAGCTTAATAGATAATGGTACTTGCATATATGATTTAAATAATACAGTATAATCTCGACATTCCCCAAGACGGCGCATGTGAAATTTTCGTGTTACTACTTGCCGATTTGTACGTGAAGCCTATATTGTCAGTTCGTTTTTAAGTTATGGCAACGCAACACTTGGGCGATCTGCCTAGGGGGATGCCTTCCGGGAGGTCGTTTTAAGGGAAACTGGCTCCTATTTAGGCGTTACAGACATGGAGAAAACCCGGAAAACTCCACGAGCTCCCAGTGTTCAGGGTACAAAGACCGCTTGGCCATTGGTGGGCCACTATATTGTCAGTCGCTAGTTGTTTGTTGTTCGTGCGGCCGGCAAAACATACAATTGTGATTAATACGATAAACTAACTTGTGAACGAAGTGCGATTTTTTCTATATTGTACATACATATAAAGTCCATTAATCCGACATCTGCCCGGCCGATATACTGTGTGTTGGATTACAGAGAGACTAATGTATATACAATTATATAGGCTAATAAATTTCTTTTAGGAAATTTTAGAATTATGATGTATGTCGTTGAAGGTGGATTTAAAAAGATATGAAGATATTCTGGGTCGTTTATGCTTTTAAAATATATTAGGAATTTAAATTTGTTAACATTAACATTGGGCATCCAATAATTACGTGTACAATACTTCACGGGCCCCCTGACATTGAAGAAATGTTCTGCAAAAATTTTCTGATTATTTGCACCACTAAAATAGTCAACGTAGACATTGCTTCGACCTCCTCCCTCCCTCAATTTGAACTGTACACGTAATTAATGGGTTACCAGAGCCGGCCCTACCATAGGGCGAACGGAGCAGCCGCTCCAGGCGCTAAGTCCTAAAGGGCGCCTCAGTGGTAAAGAAAATTAAAGTGTATAAATTAGGGGCAACCAAGGGGGCGCCATAATAGGATCTCGCTCCATCCTAAAACTTGCCTCGGGCCGGCACTGTGGGTTACCCAGTAATAGTTGTAGAACTATTCAAAACATAATAAGAGTTTTAGAATTAAATCATTTTTGTAAAGACATTGTAGTATTACTATGCACAGAAAACTGTTATAAATAGTCATCACACAAGAAACATAGCTTTAAATTTTAATAATTCTATTGAGTTCGACAGGCACTACTTGGGTGCAAATACTTTTCGTTTTAAAGGAATCGATCTGCAAGATCTGATCAGTCTTGGTCACGTGATACAGATCGCTTCTATCTTGTGTTAGTTGGTGGAAAATATACAAGTAGGATCGAATCGCATTTACTCCGTGAATAAAATTACTCACATAATGGCAAAATGGGAGAGTGCACGCCATGCATTCTTACTGTACTGTACAATCTC